ATTCTCTAAACCCTGCATAATATGGTATTTTTCATCAAGTTTATTCATGTTATGCATTATGCACTCACACATCCATGGTTGACTACTAAAGGGTGAATATGAATTTCAAAAATTCACCTCATTCAATCAAAGAAAAAGAAACAACTATTTTAAGTTAAAACAAATATAACTCATTTAATTTAGAATTAAATAAATTTGAGTTGGATTGATTTTTAATTTTTAATAATCTAATTTATTTTACCTAAGTGTGAAATTGTTAAAGATATATGTTATAAGGAAGTAAATTTACATAATTCATTTGTTTTGATAACTTAAAAAAATTTAAAATTAAGTTAAAATAGATAAATACTTAAGTGAGTCAACTTATATAATTAATATGATTATCTTGACTCCTAATTATATTACTTCTTTTTAGACTTTTTTTCATAAATAATACTCGTTTTTAAAAATATTTTCCAAAATAGCACCTTTGCAACTTTATTTACACAACTAGCACCGTTTACTGTTCACGTAATAAAATAATATTATTTTTCGCAACTTTTTACTGTTCACGTATTAAAATAATATTATTTTGCGCAATGAACTCTCGCTCAAGCGAAGAAACCCCTCGCTTGAGCGAGTAAATCTGTAACAAAGGGGTAATCTCGGGTCAATTATCGCTCAAGCGAAGAAATCTTCGCTTGAGCGAGTAAATCCATAAGAAAGGGTTATCTCCGGTCAACTCTCGCTCACGCGACGGATATTTCGCTTGAGCGATAAGTGATTAAAATATGTGGTGACCCAAGTTGCGTTATGTGGCTAACTGCGTTGGACGTTTAGCCAAATAATGCAACTTGGGTCACCTATTTCAATCACTTTTAGCTCAAGCGAAATATTCCTAGCTTGAGCGAGAGTTGACCCTAGACTTTAGATAGCGGTTCTAGAACTAACCGGTATTAAAAATATATTTTAGATAGCGGTTAACGTGGAACCGCTATTATATGTTCACTTCTAAAACTATGATCGATTATTTTAAAACTATGATCGATTATTTCACGTTATAATCGATCATAGTTTTAGAAGACAGATCGATTATTTCTCAATGGCCTGTTTGGATGATGGGAAGGGTGAGCTTGAAAATGGGGTTAGTATAGGGTGTATACTCTGCTCACCATATTTTCACTTTAGGATATTTGAAAATGGTGTCTAAGTCAACCAACCACGTTAACCCATTCCATCTTGACATCCCATATATATATATATATATATATATATATATATATATATATATATATATATATATATGTCTTGTACTTTAACAATAAAACTAAAAATGATTGATATAAGGTCAGGTTTGGAAAAATGATTTTCTCTCGTCATAATTGATTATACCGGTAATATAATCAATTATGGCAATTCAAATTTGAAAAATATATCTGTTTTAAAGAATAAATGTTTTTGAATACATCCCGATTTTTTCTATGATATTATTAATGTCCAACGGCCATTTTCTGATGCTATTTTTCTATTTAATTAAGTTTTGCTGAAAAATAAAAAACACATAATTACTGAATTCGAAAATACAATTTACATTCAATCAGCTTTGAGAAAAGAATTATGAGCAAGGCAACGAGAGATATTTTACACCTTCCGAGAAAACCCTCTTCTCTACTGTCTTATGTGCTTTCATTGTTAATCACACTTGTTCTTGGAGATTGGCGTTCTACATGTTTCTACAATTTATTGTCTCTATTACCCATGTGTGTCTGTTCTTATTTTTATTACCTTCATCCTTTGTATATTGGTGGCAAAGGAGGTGTTTTCATCCTTTGATTTGTTCAAAGGAGGTTTTCATCCCTAGTGTGATTCTAGAGAAGTGTTCATCCTTAGTGGGATTCTAAGGAGGTGTTTTTTCATCTTTTGATTTGTTCAGAGGAGGTGTTCATCCCTAGTGAGATTCTAAGGAGGTGTTCATCCTTAGTGGGTTTCTAAGCAAGTGATTGTCTTTTTAATTAGTTTACTTTTTACTGGTTCTTCTGCTGAGTTGATTGTAATTTGTAAACTGAATTTGAAAGATAGTGAATTGGGAGTCACTCTTGTGTTAAGAGTTGACTGGGAACTGGATGTAGGGTTGACTATACCCGAACCAAGTATAAATTACCGTGTGTTCTTCTATTTCCCTTATCTCTTTCTCTTTTCCCGATATATTATCGCTTTCGCTTTATTTGTGTTCAAACAAATTATTGACTCACAAATAAATTTTTAATTTGACATCTATTTTAATTTCCGCATCTATTCACCCCTCTATGTCATTTGTCTAACATTTAATTCAAAATTTATATCAAAATAAAAATAATTAAACTAAATTACATAGCATTTGATATATTTTATTAAGATGATAAACCATATTAGGTATGATCAATTGACTCTTTAGTCTATTAATATATTTTTGTCATTTCAGATCTAGTTTGTATCAACTTGGTGGATTAAGAGCGAGACATGATAGATTGACTTATAAATTTATTTTAAAAATATTTATATATTAAAATAAAATAAAATTAGTTATAATTAAAAATATTATTTTTTACATGATTAAAATATATAAATATATTATAATGTATTAATTATTGATTATAATTAATTATTTTAATTAAAAAATTAAAAATTATTCATATAATTAAAGATGTATTTTTTTTAAATATATATAAAAAATATTAATAGATTAACTTGGTAACTCGTCAACTTATTTTTTATGAGATGAGTTAAGGTTTATTTTTGCAAATTAAACGTATAAAATGAGGTAAAATACGGTTCATTTTATCATTTTTACTTTTTATTATGTTAAAATAAGATTTAAAAAGATGAGATTTTGGATAAAGAAGGGTTGTTTTGGATTTGGATTAAAGTAATCGTCACGAAATTCAGTTTATCATTTAGAAATGATTAAAAAAATATAATTCAGATCACAAAAAGCGTAACCTAATGTGTTGATAAAAAAATTTGAAACGAAGTAAAAAACGATTTTTTAACACGCACGCCTACAAAGCGAATTTAACACCAAATTGATACCCAATAAGTTATCTTAGAGAAAATAAGTGGACTTCAGGAAAAGAAATAAAGAAGTTAGTAAAGGTTACTAAACCTTATTTAAGAATAATGGCAAAAAATAAAGATAAGTACATTTTGTATTAATAAATAATATAAATATCTTGAATCTCATTATATATAACAGATACATCTAACTACAGTGGAATATTTAGAAAAAAAAATAGTGTTATATATATATATATATATATATATAATTCTCTTATATATATATATATATATATATATAATTCTCTTATACGTAGGTTAAATGCTAATCTCAAAATGCCGATAGTTTGCAACTCTCCCACAAATATATTCTTTATTTTTTTTAAGAATTAATTTCTTTAAAAAAAGTTTATATTTAAAATGTGATTTTGAAATTTCAAAATATATTAATTATTTCATTAGTAATTGTACCTTAACTTTTCACATATTATTTAATTAATTTAAATATATATAGAGCTAATTTTTTAAAAATATAATTTATTAAATTATAATATTATAAAATTATTTAAAATATGTTATTTTTAAAAATAATTAAAGATATATTTATTTATTTTATAAATAAATTTTATTTTTTTTAAATTATTATTAATAAATAAAGTTGACTTATCTTTTAAAGTAAGAAATAAATATATAACTATTAAATATTCAGTGTTAGTAAGAAAATAAAATAAAAATATTATATAGTTGATGCAATAAAGTAAGAAAAGGAAGATAAATAAAATAAGAGAGAAAAGAAAGAAAATAAACAAAAAAATATATAAACACAAGTTTTGTGTATTATTTACAGTTATTTTTAACTAAGGATAATATATATATATATATATATATATATATAGTCTTATTAATTTTATTTTATAATTATAATTATTCTCTCTAATTTTATTTTCTTTTTAATTTATATTTATATATTTTTTAAAATTATTTCTTGAAATTTATTTATATAATTACTTTTAATTAATTATTTTTTTATATTTGCATTGGTTAATTTATATTTATATCATTTAATTTATTTTAAAATTTGTATAAAAATAATTTTTTTTATAATTATTAAATATTTGATAAAATATTAGTTTAAGGTTTGACTTTAAGGATTTAAAATATGTAATTATCATTTAAAATAAATAACCTTATATTATATTACTCTTGAAGATTCATTTATTCTAATTAATCATTATAATACTATTTCAAAATTTCTTAATATAAATTATATTGATATAATTGAAAAAAAATTTGTATATTTTTTATTATTATTTTATATAATATTTTTTATTTTATCTTTTGTATATAATAAATATAATATATAAACTTAAATAAATAAGTACGATAAATTTTGCCAACCTTTTTTCTTTATACTCATCACAAAATCTTTTAATGAACTAACTAAAATACATATATATTATTAATAATTTATTTATTTTTAGAGAAATAAACTTGACAACTTTAATATTTATTTGTGATATGAAAAAAAAATGAAATTGTAATTTGCATATATATATATATATATATATATATATTACTTTTTGTTAACATTTGGTATAAATTAATCGCTCCCCTAAATATAATTAAATTAAAATTATATTATATATATATATATATAAATGTCATAATATTTACGAGTATTTATATTTTTAAAATTAATAATTAAAAAATATTTCCTGAATTTTACCCATGCATGCGCGTATCATTATTTTGTCGAATCATTTAAAATAATTTGAAGACGTACACATTTATGCTAATTGTTTTCACTAATATATATGTATAAAATTTGTCACACTTGAAAAAAACATTCAAATATCTAAAGTATTCTATAAATATAAATTCCCTATTTAAAAATAATAAACTAACTAAATTACTACTTTTACATCAATGAAAATTAAATATAAATAATTTATCACTTAATCCTTATATGACACTTTCATAATGAATAGTCAATCACTAATTTGACTTAGCACAAGGTCTCTAGCCCTGTTAATAGTCATGAAACACAAATATAAATGTTCTTCCAATTCATCCAATTGCTCACTGAAACTACAATGCTTCTTCTTCAACAACTGCACAACATCATTGCCTTCAACTCTATTCTCCCTTCTCTCAACCCAAATTTTCACTCTTCTCCTCATGTATTCTAGCTCATCATTAAGCCGAGCCACAAGCCGACTTGTCATCTCCAAATCCTTATTCACTATATAACTTCCTTTCGCGGCTGCATCGAGCCGAGCCGCCACCTTAGCCAACTTCCTTTTCGAACCCAAATTCATTGAAGCCAATCCAGGCATAGCCATAATCAATGCAAGGCCATGAGAGATAGTAATAACAACAAGTGAAGCCGTTATAGCCGCAACTAGACAAGCCGAGCCACATTTCATTTTAGCTGCTAGTTGTAGCTTGGCTTGTGCCTTGTCGCGGCTTGACTCGAGCCGTTTTTGCAAGTTGAAGCATTGATACTGTTTGGCCCGAACTTGACCCGATGAGGTAAACGAGTTGGAAAAGTTTGAAAATTCAGTTAAATGGGTTATAACCATTGGCGAAGGGATTTGATTAGTTGGAACACATTGAAGAATGGTTTTAAGCGCTGTATACTTCAGACGCACAAGATCAATGTCTTTTAATAGGTGGCTAAAAAGAAGAGAAGAATTGGCAGTATGTGAGAAATAGTCTGACAGTAGAGAGTGGACCTTGGGCCTACAATGGGCCAGGGATAGGGCCCGAGTGACCGTGGGCTGATCGGGGTCCAATAGATGCTCCGCGAACAAACGGTACGAGGGGAGACGGGCCGAGGTGGTGGACTCTCTTGACAAACACGAAGATGAATCGTTCTTGGAATAGGCAAGGACACGTGTCAAAAACTCAGTGTATGATTCCGTTCGAAATGCGTTTGCATATTCCTCACGCACGTCCACACAGGGTTGGTGATTTGGAGAACTGCTACATTCTGTTGCATGCCATTGTCCTTATTACATTATGTTAGAATCAGAGTATTATCTCATTAATTTATGAATCTATTTGGACAAACTTATGTATATACTTCAGCTTTATGTGTCTACAACAAGATTTAACGTCCTTGTAATTTGTAGTCTTGTTTGTTTACAAAGAACATTGTTTATCTGAATCAAATCTTATGATAACACCTCAATGAGGAGAGGGAAAACAATCCATCAAGAGAGCGAAAAGCAGAGCATGATTATTACCTGAACACGAAAGCGGCTTTTTGATCCGGCGAACCAATTTGTTCTTCATTCCTAAACGTAACACTGCAAATCAAGGATCCAAGAGAAAAATCAGAAGGCATGCAATAAACTACAGTTTTTATCAAAAGGAAACAGAATTGGAGGAAATTAGGTCTAATGAATCCAATTTTTCTATTGAAATTAAATTGGATGTCAACCTTTCTGAGAATCGTAATGAATGAGGCTTTTGGCGGTAGAGTTTTTGAATGAAAAAGAAATTGAATGAGATTCTTAAGGTGGAACTATTCTTTTTGAGAGATAAAATTCTTCTTTCTTTTAATAATGCAAAACACAGAGCCATTTTTCAGTTTTTGCTTGTAAGAAAGAGCTACGAAAGTTTTGGCAACGTAGTGAGATCTTGTAGTGTACGTGGAAGGTATCTCGGATTTAGCGTGATGGAACGAAGGTAGTTCTAGAATTGTTTTCTCGTAACCTCAAAGCTAAGTAATGTTTATGTGTTTCTATAAAGGTATTAAATGGAAATAAAATTTTGAAACAAAAAAGTTAGTAAAAGTATTATCTTTCATTTTATTTTATTAAAAATAGGTATTTTACAATATCAAACTAAAAAATAAATACATAATTGAATACATAAGCCTTGCACGAATATTTTTTATATATTTTTAACCCAAATAATTTTAAATTAAGTATAATTGGATTGATTTGAATTTTATATTTATTTTTAATCTTTTAAGAATTAAATTTAACCTAATTTAAAATTTTGATTGACTAAAGTAATAAGTAAGTAAAAATATTTTCAAAACACAACAATTTATAAAAAAATCATTTATTTAATTTCCGCGAATAGAATAAATAAAAATACAATGATGCTGTTGTTCTGTTAATATTTAACACGGGCCGCAATAGATTCTGGCCCAACATCCGTAACACAATCACATTGCATTCTCAATCCCTTGATGCCTATATATACTCTCACGAATCCCTTACTTAACTCGTGCTTAGGGTTCACAAGCGCCGTCCCTATTCTTCAGCAGTTCCGAAAGGAGGTGTCTTGTCTCTCTATTCTGTGTTAGGTTTTCCATCTAATTGATTCCTTTGTTGTATGTTAGGGATACTCTCACGTATCCCTCTTTGGCTTTAAACCTGTGCCTTTGAGATGAATGCAGCACCGGTCAGGACCCAAGTCTGGATAGATAAAAATAAAACCATGATAATAAATAATAATATTTATTCTGAAAATATTTGAGAAAAAAATATTTTTCTTTATAAAAACAAAAAAAAGGAAAAGAAAAGAAAAGAAAAAAAAATATATATATATATCATAATTTAAAAAAAAAATAATAAAAAAAGAGTAATTCTTTTTTGGATCCAACCATTCTTTAACCTAAGTCTCAAAATTTTAACTTAATTTTTGATTTTAAAATGGGGAAATAGTGAATAGGGGGATTCGCTGGCCTCCATTCACACTCACCCTGTATCACCCGCGTCGCCCCCAATCACCCAACCTTCACTCACCTTTCATCCCATTCTCTTCACCTTTCCTTATCTTCTCCCAGCCGCACCCTCTTCACCTTCTAAATCACCTTCGGCAATCTCCGCCGCAGGCCGCCTCCCCTCACCGGAGCTGCGAACCCAGCTCAACCCGCAAACACCCATTCCGCCTTCACCAAACCACTCACCAAATCCCCCGCGTCAGAATCGCACCCAAACCGTCGCACCTCAGCCGTGCCTCCCAGCCCTAGCAGCGGTCGCGACCGCACCCTAACCCAGTCTCCACCAAGCCGCCGCTGACCCCCACTCACCATCACACGTCCAAACCCCAGTCACAGCCACCGCCTCCCTGGCCACCATCGTGGCCATCCCTAAACCCCTAACCGCCTCACTCCCACCACCAATCGACCGCCACTATCCCCACTTAAGAGCCCCATCTCGCCGCTACCAACCATCACCGCGGACGAGATCTCCTCATCGAGGGGCACCGCGACCACCAAGCGTGAGCCATCGTGATTCGCGTCTGCAGCCCACTACCCCATTGAACCCTAGCTCCCCCTTTTGCACCCACGAGCCAACCCATTCTTCATTGTGAATCAACACTGACTACTCACTACGCTTCGCCACCTCATCGCACCACCTTGCAACGAAAGCGTTTGGCCGCGACCCAACTCACCACAGGCCAAACCGTGGGGCTCTATATTTCTCTACTCCCTTATTTCCTCCATTTCTGCTCGGATTCATTTCTGATTTTGCATTCGGCTCGTTTTTGTGTTGTCGCATTTGGCTTGATTCTGGATTACTCTGCTTGGATATGGATTTGCTTAGTTTGTGTTTGGTTTATGTTATTTGATACAGGTTAGTTTGGAGTTTAAACTGGATGCTTATTGGGTCTGTTGGTTGTCGGGTTTGAGGCTGAATTGAGTTGTAAATATCTGGTTGTCAATATTCGGCACAGGGTTGTTGATTGGGCAGTTCTGGGTTTGGTCTCATCTCTGATTTGGGATTAAATGCTTTTGCTCTTCAGATTTGCTGAGATTTTTCTCTGAAGCTGGTCTAGTAAGCTTAAGCACATTCTTTATTTTAGTTTTCCTTATTCTCCATATGTTTTCACTGAAAAAGAATTTTGTTGTTTTGTGAAAGCATTCAATCACGAATACTCTATCAATTCATAACTTTTTTCATTGATGAAATTTCGAATCAATTATCCAAAAAAGTGTTTTTTTAATTAATTTTCCTTAAAATTTGAAAAATATATTTCATTTTTTTATTATTTGAGTAATTTTAAAATATATTTTAGGAAAAAATCCTAAATAAAATAAAACCTATAGACCTGATATTTTAAAATAAAAAAGTTAGAAAAAAAGTTGGAATTAAAGAAAGAGGTTTCTCGACGCCAATCGGTGCAAATAGTTTTTATTGGATAAAACCTATAGACCAAATTGCCAGTGCCCTATTTACTTTTGCTAAACTTTAAAGTGTAATAGGTTTTGTCTTACATGGATAAATAAGTGTATGTGTATTATGAATGTCTTTAAAACAGAAAGCTATTATTTATTTTAAATTTTTTGTGATACAATTTCCTTGGATAGGGAAATATTTGAGACATTTCTTAAGGTTTAGTTAGAAATTTAGATTCAGCGTAACAGAAGTGCGATCATTTCCTCTGACATTTGTGCGTTGTTATATTTTTAGCTACTGTAAAATCTATTGTAGAGCGCATCATTTGTTTGAAGCAGGAAGAAAATGAAGTTTGTTTCAGTTGCTGTTAGGTCATTAAGTACCAATTTGTCACATCAGTTTTATCAGACTCATATGATCAGAAGTCTTTCAACTTGGAGATTTACAGGTACTTGGTCTTTTTATCGTCTCCTTTTTAAGCAATAATCTACCTGTCAGCATTGTTGCTGATATATTGGTAATTGATTTTGATGATTGGCTGTATACATGTTCGGTTTCCTTGACGTTTGAGTTTGTGAATGTTTTATGCTTTTCTCCTCGATGATCAAAAGTTTAATAGTAAACTAAGAAGATGAGGTTTGTCAGCCTGCCTCTTACCATTGTTAAAAATGGAAAAGTTTTTAGCTGATAAGTGAGAATGTATTTCAATTTTGTGTAACGTTTCAACTGTAGTAGTTTAATCAATAATTGAAATTCTTTGTCTGGAATCTGACTAGTGTGATAGTAAATGTTGATAAACAAATGTAGTGTTGAGGTGCAAATTTTTACAATTACAATTCTGTGGATGTGTACCATCATTGTTATGGATAAGTTTTCTTGGCAGTGACTTGTACAAGTTGCTAGATAGTACATTATATATATATATATACGGAGAGAGAAGCATTATATTTGGAAGTAGGATCGGGCTTGACTTAAGTTAGTTCTGATTGACCTACAATCTTGTTGACTGTGCAGACCTTTCTTATGTTTCTTTTTGGGTTGATTAATCTCTGTCATCTTCAGTTTGTTCTTAGGTGTCCTGGAAAATTCCTTATCTTCATGTTCTTAGGTATTTGTACATTTTGTCCAGTACTGAGAAGAGTTAACTACATTTCTGGATTTTAATTTTCACAATATGCAGTGTTGTGCCTAGGCCAAAAATGAAGTATATTTCTGTTGAATATTCAAACGGAGCATCACATAATTTTTGGAATAAGAAGGAAAGAAAAATGTTGTATAGTAAACCTCTATAGATTTAAGCTTTAATCATATGAGAATTTCATGTGTTCTGCATCACATGCCTAATCAGATTTCAGCATGTGACATGTAACATATCATTGGGACTTTATTAGCATTCATTTTTATACCCAACTCATGTAAGTACAAATTCAATAGTGTGTAATCTGTGCTTGAATCACAACTTCCCAAATTCTATAAGGTTGTTCAACTTTTTTTCGTATCTGTCACTGATAGTCATACAGAGGATTTACATTTATTCTTTATGAACTTCTTGCCCAATGTTTGAGCAGATAATGGTACTGGTGAGCAGCATGCTAACAAGTCTGAGTCTCCTGAGGAGTTTGGGAAGTTTGGTGAAAATCGTGCTAGATATGCCCAGTTTGATTCCTTCCTTGAAAAGATTAACCAACCGGGAATGGCTCGACAGAGACCTGGTTCAGGAAATGGTGCTAGTTCTGAGATGATGCATCTTTTTGAAGAGAGTCATGACACATTATTAGATGGAATGGATGTAAAATTGAAGAATGCTGCCACATACTTTGAAGTTGATGAGGAAGAAATAAACAAAGAGGATTATGCTTTTCGATATGATGCCAATTTTCCAATTGATTCAAAATATGATGTAAAGGTAAGTTGAATAACAATGGCTAACTTCTTTGGTTATCATTGTTTTTATATAAATCTTTAATTTTAGATGTTTGTTTATATTTAATTCTGTAATAGGCATGAGGGCATCAAATGTTTTGTCCGAATTGATGTTTGATGTAATGATACTTGTACACATGTTTGGTGGGAGGTATTGTATGAAATATAGTGAAGAGTGTCTGGCAGGGTAGTTTTCATTACTGATAGCATCATGAAGTGACTGACACCAAAAATGCTATAGTGGAATAGCAGGATGGCCATTAAGTTGAGATTATAGATCTCTAACGTAATTAACTATAATGTATGTATTTTTAGATATTCAAAATTAAAGTGATATTCACAATTTATTCTAAATAATAGATAAATGGGTGTTGGGTGGTTCAGTAGAAGAATGGTGGTGATAAAAAAGAACAAGATTTGCAAGCTATGCCTGGGTGGGAATAGAGAATTGTAATGGTCCAGGAAGTGTGATTGGGGTTGAGTAGCAAGAAACTTTGGTAACTAGTGTGTGGGTGTCAGAAAATGTTGGGAAATGGTTGGAAATAGCAATCGATTGACTTGAGCTCATGCAGGTCGATGAGATAAGGAATGTGAATATGGATGGAAAGTAATGAAAGAGGTTTTAAATTTCTTGATATCTTATGTATAGAAGGACATGAATTGAAACAGAAGTATCTTCATTGATTTTATCAATTAAAAATGGAGGGGAGACTTATATTTTGCAAGAATATGCATTCCGGAAATTTTGAATGGGTGTTCTCATCTTGTGTGATCCACAAATATTATAACCCTCAAATCTAACCCTAGGTACTCACGTTCCTCGTCAAAGAAAAATTGTGTTGTAATGACTTTTTTAGAGTTTTAGGTGATTTGACAAAATTATGATACTCTGTCTGTATCTTGTCTATCCTTTTTAATTTGACACATAATTTCACTCTATTGCATTGAAGAGTTTAAATTACATGCATTAATATATACACACTGGCTTGTTCATATTCAATGGTATGATTAACTAATCATGTTAAATGCTTTTGATCATATCTTCACTTTTATTCTGTCTGCTTTAAACAACTATGGCTATAATATCCTATTCAATGCAAGATATCTCAACCTTTACTCTGTTAATGTTTATTTTACATTATATGTATCTACTAGTTTTCTAATATGTGCAGTATCTTTCTTCATATAGGCTCTGGATCTTACAAAACCTGGTGTACGCAAGCCTCCCGCAAGGAATGAATTCAGTGTAACCACCAAAGAAGTTCTTAGTCAAGCAGATTTCAGGGTTAGCACTTATGTCAGAGTAGTTCCTTAGTTTCTTTTTAGTAAGGCATCTAGTATATACTTCTGAGTGCTACGTTGAAGTGACAATTGTCACTTTCTTGAATTTTTTTTTTTTATATTACTATTACGAAAATATAAAATAGTTCATGACTTGCACTTATCTCTTAGTGAGAGACACTTTCACATCTCATATTATTTTTTATTTTTTTATCTTTTTGGTGCATTGTTTTGGTGAAAGTAAAACTAGAAATGAATGAAAACGTGTTAATTGTCAAAACTATCTTATATAGATTGTAAGGTTGTCTATATACACTGCTCACCATATTTTCACTTTAGGATATTTGAAAGTGGTGTGTAAGTCAACCACCTTAACCCATTCCATCTTGGCCTCCCATTTATACATGTCTTGTACTTTAACAATAAAACTAAAAATGATTGATATAAGGCTGGTTTGGTGGTAAAATTTTGAAGGGAACTGAAGGGAGGTAGGATAAATTTTCGCCAGCTTCTTGTGCTAAAGTTGTAATCAATTAATGGGTTAGTCAATTTTAAATTCAGTGAAGCAGATGAAGGCGCGGTAAATATATGCTAAAATTCTGTTTAGCTACCGTAGCTTTTCTTTCATTCTTTCTTGTGAATCTATGATTACATGTTTCCCTTCATAACAAAGTATCATGCTATTAAATATTGATGCTATTTTTGGAATGACTCTCAGTAGTATTTATGTTTTCATGCAGAATGTTAGATTCCTGGCAAAATTCATAACAGAGGCAGGAATTATTATCAAGAGAAGCAAGGTAAGCTTTAAAACTATATTGGGCACTAAAGTCGTAAGGTAGATGGAGGATTATCGTGGAAGGAAAAATGATGGGATAAATATGTTTTTGGTCAACTTTTTCTTTTTTGGTAAATTTGTCTTTGATCCTTATATTTTCAAATTGATCCTTCAATTTTTTGAAAATTTATATCTTTAGTTCTTTTTTATACCTAAGTTTAACACTTAGTTATGATTTTTTTATCTTAATAGAATTGATAACATAATTAAATATGATTTTAGTTATTCTTTATATCTGAATTTAATATTTAGTAACACTTTTTTGCTGTTATAAAGTTGATTAGATAATATTTTTTTTCCTGAAGTTTGAGGACTAATTTGTTAACTTTTAAAATAAAAGAACTAAACCAACTTTCACAAAAAGTATAAGGGGCAAAAACATATTTAACCCAAAAATAAATTATGGGTATTTCAGAATTAGCATTGCACTGATTTTCCTTCTTGTATTGTTTCCCTACCCAAACATATAAGCATTGATAGAAGAGGAAATATGAAAGAAAAAATTAAAGAAATTTCCCAAAAGTTAAATTAGCTAATGTACAAGTCAATTTTTATATAAGTTCTTACATGTTTGTTTATTCAAAACATAATTTTTACTTATTTATAAGCTGATTTTAGTTTTTTGAAGAATTGCATCTCATTTTTTCTTTTTATTTTCTTCTCCTGTTAAAGAATTCATAAACTTGTTTAAAATTGTGAGATCTTAACACTGTTTCATCTTGATCATTGAGCAGACTGGCATTAGTGCAAAGGCTCAAAGGAAGGTTGCCAGGGAGATAAAAACTGCCCGAGCATTTGGCTTGATGCCCTTTACAACAATGGGAACGAAGTCATTTATTTTTGGGAGAACCATGAAGAATCTTGATGAAGATTTTGAATACGAAAGTAAGATAGAGGATGGGGAACCTGATATGGAAGGAGACCAAGTATAGAATCATAATTTTGCAGCTACATATTTTTTTTATTGCTAAGGAACTTGTAGTTTATACTTGTACTAAGTTTATGTTAACGTGGGGCTTAATATTTTTTTGGCCTAAAAGTTACTAGACAGATAAAGTTCTAAACACTTTTTTATGAATAAAGGAGAAATTTGATAAATACAGTTAAAAAATTTCTTTTAAACTAAGTTGTTTTTTATGCATGCCGCTTATCATTATGAATCTAAGTTAAAGAGTTGTCACTTTATTATTTTGTCAAATTATTTAAAATAATTTGAATACCTACATGTTTATGCGAATTGTTTTCCCTAATATATATGTAGTGAGATATTGTAGTGTACGTGAAGGGGTATTTAGTGATATGTGGATTTAGTGTGGTGGAACGAAGGTAGTTCTAGAATTGTTTTCTGTAACCTCAAAGCTAAGTAATGTTTTGACTTTTTTTCATAAATAATACTGTTTTAAAAAATATTTACCCAAATAGCACCTCTGCAACTTTATTTACACAACTAGCATTGTTTACTGTTCACTTAATAAAATAATATTATTTCGCGCAACTGTTCACTGTATTAAAATAATATTATTTTGCGGACTGAACTCTCGCTCAAGCGAAGAAAACCTTCGCTTAAGCGAGGAAACCTGTAACAAAGGGGTAGTCTGGGGTAAATTCTCGCTCAAGCGAAGGTTTTCTCGCTTGAGCGAAAAGTATGATCGACTATTATCCCATTATAGTTGATCACTTTGACATATATGACTTTAGATAGCGGTTATTTGGTCAACCGCTATCTAAACTACTGCATTAGATAGCGGTTATTTGCCCAACCGCTATCTAATATAGTAGTTTAGATAGCGGTTGGCCAAATAACCGCTATCTAAAGTGACTCAAGCGAAAATCACACCGCTTGAGCGAGGACACCTGGAAACAAGGGGGACTCTCGGGTTCTGTTTCGCTCGAGCGACGCGGACTTTCGCTCGAGCGACAAAGTGATTGAAATCTGTTTCAATCGATTATAACGTATTTCAATCGATTAAAATAACTTGGAAAAATTTTGTACAGAGTTTCAATCGATTAAAACGCGTTTCAACCGATTAATACAACTTCGAAAAATTTTGTACAAAGTTTTAATCGATTAAAACTTCTTTTTATCAGCTAAAATAACTTGGAAAGTTTTTATAAGAAAGTTTTGCAGTATATCAATCGATTAAAACACGAAACAATCGATTGAATCAAACTTAGAAAAGTTTTGTAAAGTGTTTTAATTGATATAACCGTTGTAGTATCAGCTAAAACAAATCTGTTAAAGAATCAAGAACGTATCAATGGATTGAAAGGACTTTTAACAGATTGAAACGGCTATTTCAACAGATTAAAACAAACTTTCAACAGATTAATTAATGCAGCAGTTATGAAAATACTCTTTAAAATTAGTTTGCTTGAACTTTTTAAACATACATTGAATAAGATCTTCGTTATATCAAATGATTCAATAAGATCTTCATCATTTTCAATTAATTGAAAAACTCCTAAGTTTCATACATTGAGACATTTCTTAACTAACACAATCTAATGATGCGAAGTAGATGCACATGCAATATTGGGACATGTTCTTCTGCTATGACCAGGGGTATGACAATATGAACAATTTTTAATCCTACTTTGATGTTCTGTAATGTCCATCTCAGTTCTTATACGACTTGATTTCGGTCGGCCCTTTGAAGTTCTTTTCATTTCTGGATTTGCACACAAAGTAGGTCCTGTGTATGTTGGCCAATATTCTTCATTTCGCAATAACCCAAATTGTGTTCCGTATACCTTTGAAACTTGTTGTAAGGTATACACTGAATTAATATAGTTGTTGAAGTCATGGTGTGCATGCTTGCATGCAGCAAGAACATGTGAACAAGGCATGTGAAATTTTTGGAATTTCCCACAGTCACACCATAACTCATCAAGGTGAACTGCAAACTTCCCTGCTGGTCGAACTTCACGCGGGTTTTGTGTTTCTTCTACTACAAATTTTGTGGTAGACTCGTCAAACGTTATGACCCCGTGCGTGTTTGCCTGTGTTTGTGCTTCCTCTAAATTCTTGGCCAAAATTTCAGAGTATACATGACCAGCATTGATGAGGGCATCTATCTGCCTCCCTCTTTCAATGAAAAATTTGTTGCAACGGGTGTACGTTGCGGTGACCATGGAGCAAATAGGTAGATTTCTTGTTTTTTTCAAAACAGAGTTGATAGACTCTGCTATATTGGTCGTCATGTGGCCCCAACGTCGCCCATTGTCCCATGCAAGTGCCCATTTTTCTCTAGGTATCTCATCCAACCAATTAGCTGCTTGTATGTCACATTGCCTCAAGATGTTGTAATAATAGTAGAATCGTGGTTCAGTCACATTGCCTGAAGATTGGAATCCAAGATTGGAATCCAATGCTTTGGCCAAGACATGGAAATCCTGACTTCGGTGGGTGACTCAGCATTGTAAATAGTTGCAGGTTTTCTCGCTCAAGCGATGGTTTCTCGCTCGAGCGAAACAGAACCCGAGAGTCCCCCTTGTTTGAAGGCTTCATCGCTCAAGCGGTGACTTTGTCGCTTGAGCGAGTAATGACCGAATCACCTTAGATAGCGGTTGATAACAACCGCTTTTAAAAATATATATTACATAGCGGTTGGCTTTAACCGCTTTCTAATGTAGTAGTTTAGATAGCGGTTGGCCAAATAACCGCTATCTAAAGTCATATACTGAAAGTGATGCTAGCAAAAGATGTCATTGATTTGATGAAGTCAAAGATAAAGTCAAAAGTCAACTCTGCAGCAGTCAACAAGTCGCCCAGATAATTGAGCTGAAGATTGAGTGTGTCTTAACAGAAAGTTTCTGCTGCATAAAGTTTTTTCATCATTTTGCAAAATGCCTCAAAAATAGTTTTAAACAAATAAAAAACAAAAGCATTTTGACAAAGAAGTTTCTTAATAATGTTTTTAACTGATATAGTTTTAAAAGAAACGATTAAAATCACTTAGAATGTTTAAAGAAGTGTTTTTACAGTATTTTAATCGATACAAACTTCTTTTAATCGATTAAAACCACTTTGGAAGTCAGGATGATCGATCAGAATGAAATTATGACCGATCAGAGGTGGTTATGATCGATCAGAATTAAATTATGACCGATCAGACCTATTTCAATCGATTAAAACGCATTTCAATCGACTAAAATAACTTGGGAAAACTTTGTACAGAGTTTCAATCGATTAAAACGCGTTTCAACCGATTAAAACAACTTAGAAAAATTCTGTGCAGTTTTATAATCGATTAAAACTTCTTTGTATCAATTAAAATAACTTGAAAAGTTTTATAAGAAAGTTTTAAAGTAAATCAATCGATTAAAATGAGAATCAATCGATTGAATCACTCTCGAATATGTTTGTAAAATGTTTTAACTGATATAAACATGGTTGGAGGGTTGGTCTTTCCACCAACTAGACGTAAAATCTGCCTTCTTAAATGGCTATTTGGAGGAGGAAATATATGTAACACAACCATTGGGATTCATAGTCAAAGGAGAAGAGCACAAGGTATACAGGCATTGGAACTATTATGCATCGGATGAAATACTCACGTGATATTCTTAGCAGGGTTCGGGATGAAGAATTGCAATGTCTGCAAGTAAACTCCAACGGAAATGGGTCCGAGATTAGAAAGGGGCACCGAGGAGGAAGATGTTGATCACACAGAGTTTCGCGAGAATCATTGGAAGTCTAAGATACCCGTGTAACACCGGACCCGTGGTAGCTCTCTCCTCCTGTCAGCGCAGTATATAGCCGCTGCACAGTGCCGCATGTCAAGCCGCATGGCTCGGGATGCTCGTTGAAGGAGCTGAATGCGGAATTGGTCCAACCACCAACATTGTTTGTTGATAATAAGTCTCGCAATAGACTTAGCTAAACACCCATCGACTCATGGAAAAAGCAAACATATAGAAATGAGGTTTCATTTCTTGAGAGAGCAGAGTTAATGATAAGAAGCTTGAAATAGAACACTGCAGGTATGGAAGATCGGAGTGCGAGATATCTTTACAAAGCCTTTGAAGGTCGCTAGATTTTGTAAACTCGGAGAGTGTCTCGAGAATTGTTCAGCTTTTGACTTAAGTAGGCATGTTGAGATTTAAGTCAAAATGCATGATGGGTAGTTACGTGTATGGGTATTATGTGCATGGGGCATGCATTACGTGCATGGGTTTCTTTCAGCTTTTTTTCGTTTTGTTCACGTTCTCGTTCTACTCGTTATTTGTTATTTCTACTGTATATAAACATTACGGTTTTCATACATCAATAAAAGGAATGTACTTCGGTTTCTATCTCGTAGCTCTCCCATTTCGGATATAACGAGAGTCCCCCTTGTTTCCAGGTGTCCTCGCTCAAGCGGTGTGCGGTTATTTTCCGCTATCTAATCACTAGTTTAGATAGCGGTTGGCCAAATAACCGCTATCTAAAGTCATATATGTCAAAGTGATCGACTATAATGGGATAATAGTCGATCATACTTTTCGCTCAAGCGAGAAAACCTTCGCTTGAGCGAGAATTTACCCCAGACTACCCCTTTGTTACAGGTTTCCTCGCTCAAGCGAAGGTTTTCTTCGCTTGAGCGAGAGTTCAGTCCGCGAAATAATATTATTTTAATACAGTGAACAGTGAACAGTTGCGCGAAATAATATTATTTTATTAAGTGAACGATGAACTGATGCTAGTTGTGTAAATAAAGTTGCAGAGGTGCTATTTGGGTAAATATTTTTTAAAACAGTATTATTTATGAAAAAAAGTCTAATGTTTTTGTGTTTTTATAGAGGTATTAAATGTAAATAAAATTTTGAAAAAAAAGTTAGTAAAAGTATTATCTTTCATTTTATTTTATTAAAAATAGGTATTTTATAATATTAAACTAAAAAATAAATACGTAAGCCTTGTACGAATATTTTTTATTTTTTTTAACCCAAATAATTTTAAATTAAGTATAATTGGATTGGTATGAATTTTATATTTATTTTTAATCTTTTAAGAATTAAATTTAACCTAATTTAAAAATTTGATTGACTAAAGTAATAAGTAAGTAAAAATATTTTCAAAACACAACAATTTATAAAAAAATCATTTATGAAGCAATTAATCAAATCAAATTTGGAAACCAATTCGTTGAGTTAAGTAAATTCTTCAAAGATCTATGTTCAATTATTTTGGGAGTGGATGATTTGTTATTAATGGAACAAAACATTACAATTACATTATGTAAATTGGAACGACCTGCATTCTTCAATTCAATTGGAACATTATATTTTTCGCTTGAGCGACAATTATCTAGCTCGAGCGAAACACCCCTGCACAAAATTATGATCGGTCATAAATGCGTTCTGATCGATTATATTGAAACGATATCATAGCAGTTCCAAGTTAACCGCTATCTAAGTGACCTTTTAAAAGCGGTTCCTGTGTAACCGCTATCTAAAATGTCTTTCGCTTGAGCGAAAATAATCTCGCTCGCCCGAACCGCCCCCTACACAAAATTTGCATTCTCGGGTTGTGTTTCGCTTGAGCGACAATTCTCTCGCTCGAGCGAAACACCCCTGCACAAAATTATGATCGGTCATTACTGCATCCTGACCGATCATATTGAAACGATATCATAGCGGTTCCAGGTTAACCGCTATCTAAGTGATCTTTTAAAAGCGGTGCCTGTGTAAGCGCTATCTAAAATACCTTTCGCTTGAGCGACAATAGTCTCGCTCGAGCGAAACACCTATGCACAAAATTGGCTTTCTCGGGGTGTATTTCGCTTGAGCGACAATACTATCGCTCGAGCGAAACGCCCCCTGCACAAAATTGGCATTCTCGGGTTGTGTTTCGCTTGAGCGAAAATTTTCTCGCTCGAGCGAGACGCCCCTGTACAAAATTATGATCGGTCATAATTCCATTCTGATCGATCATAAGTGAGCTTGTAAAAGCGGTTCCTCTTTAACCGCTATCTTAAATGTATTTCGCTTGAGCGAATATCTCGCTCGCTCGAGCGAAACCCCCGAACAAATATAATATTATTTTTAAAATTTAATATTTTTTTTTCAAATATAAATATATAAAGATATAAATGTATAAGGATATAAATAAATATATAAATATATCAATATATAAATATATCAAAATATAAGTTTCTTATAAAACTTTTCAAGTTATTTTAACTTAGTGCTGGTGTGGATAATATCATTTACTTAAGTTTATTGCGTTGGTGTCTTCTGAATGCTGACTTTTAAACCAAATTGCCAGTGGCCCTATTTAGTTTTGCTAAACTTTAAAGTGTAATAGGTTTTGTCTTACATGGATGAATAAGTGTATGTGTATTATGAATGTCTTTAAAACAGAAAGCTATTATTTATTTTAAATTTTTGTGATACAATTTCCTTGGATAGGGAAATATTTGAGACATTTCTTAAGGTTTAGTTAGAAATTTAGATTCAGCGTAACAGAAGTGAGATAATTTCCTCTGAGATTTGTGTGCTGTTATAATTTTAGCTACTGTAAAATCTATTGTAGAGCTCATCATTTGTTTGAAGCAGGAAGAAAATGAAGATCATTTTGGTTGCAGTTAGGTCATTAAGTACCAATTTGTCACATTAGTTTTATTAGACTCATATGATCAGAAGTCTTTCGACTTGGAGATTTACAGGTACTTGGTCTGTTTATCGTCTCCTTTTTAAGCAATACTCTGACTGTCAGCAGTGTTGCTGATATATTGGTAATTGATTTTGATGATTGGCTGTATACATGTTCGGTTTCCTTGACGTTTGAGTTTGTGAATGTTTTATGCTTTACTCCTCTATGATCAAAAGTTTAATAGCAAACTAAGAGCATGAGGCTTGTCAGCCTGCCTCTTACCATTATTAAAAATGGAAAATTTTTTGGCTGATAAGTGAGAATGTATTTTAATTTTGTGTAACGTTTCAACTATAGTAGTTTAACCAATAATTGAAATTCTTTGTCTGGAATCTGACTAGTGTGATAGTAAATGTTGATAAACAAATGTAGTGTTGAGATGCAAATTTTTACAATTACAATTCTGTGGATGTGTACCATCATTGTTATGGATAAGTTTTCTTGGCAGTGACTAGTATAAGTTACTAGTATAGTACATTATATATATATATACAGAGAGAGAAGCAACATTATATTTGGAAGTAGGATCGGGCTTGACTTAAGTTAGTTCTGATTGAGCTACAATCTTGTTGACTGTGCAAACCTTTCTTCTGTTTTTTTGGGTTGATTAATATCTGCCATCTGTCACCTTCAGTTTGTTCTTGGGTGTCCTGGAAAATTCCTTATCTTCATGTTCTTAGGTATTTGTACATTATGTCCAGTACTGAGAAGAGTTAACTACATTTCTGGATTTTGATTTTCACAATATGCAGTGTTGTGCCTAGGCCAAAAATGAAGTATATTTCTGTTGAATATTCAAACGGAGCATCACATAATTTTTGGAATAAGAAGGAAAGAAAAATGTTGTATAGTAAACCTCTATAGATTTAAGCTTTAATCATACGAGAATTTCATGTGTTCTGCATCACATGCCTAATCAGATTTCAGCATGTGACATGTAACATATCATTGGGACTTTATTAGCATTCATTTTTATACCCAACTCATGTAAGTACAAATTCAATAGTGTGTAATCTGTGCTTGAATCACAACTTCCCAAATTCTATAAGGTTGTTCAACTTTTTTTCGTATCTGTCACTGATAGTCATACAGAGGATTTACATTTATTCTTTATGAACTTCTTGCCCAATGTTTGAGCAGATAATGGTACTGGTGATCAGCATGCTAACAAGTCTGAGTCTCCTGAGGAGTTTGGGAAGTTTGGTGAAAATCGTGCTAGATATGCCCAATTTGATTCCGTCCTTGAAAAGATTAACCAACAGGGAATGGCTCGACAGAGACCTGGTTCAGGAAATGGTGCTAGTTCTGAGATGATGCATCTTTTTGAAGAGATTCATGACACATTATCAGATGGAATGGATGGAAAATTGAAGAATGCTGCCACATACTTTGAAGTTGATGAGGAAGAAATAAACAAAGAGGATTATGCTTTTCGATATGATGCCAATTTTCCAATTGATTTAAAATATGATGTAAAGGTAAGTTGAATAACAATGGCTAACTTCCTTGGTTATCATTGTTTTTATATAAATCTTTAATTTTAGATGTTTGTTTATATTTAATTCTGTAATAGGCATGAGGGCATCAAATGTTTATAAAATTTTGAAAAAAAAAAGTTAGTAAAAGTATTATCTTTCATTTTATTTTATTAAAAATAGGTATTTTACAATATTAAACTAAAAAATAAATACGTATGCCTTGTACGAATATTTTTTATTTTTTTTAACCCAAATAATTTTAAATTAAGTATAATTGGATTGGTATGAATTTTATATTTATTTTTAATCTTTTAAGAATTAAATTTAACCTAATTTAAAAATTTGATTGACTAAAGTAATAAGTAAGTAAAAATATTTTCAAAACACAACAATTTATAAAAAAAATCATTTATTTAATTTATGGGAATAGAATAAATAAAAATACAATGATGCTGTTAATATTTAACACGGGCCAGGAAAAATTGCAATAGATTCTGGCCCAACATCCGTAACACAATCACATTGCATTCTCAATCCCTTGATGTCTATATATACTCTGACGAATCCCTCACTTAACTCGTGCTTAGGGTTCACAAGCGCCGTCCCTGTTCTTCAGCAGTTTCGAAAGGATGTCTCTCTCTCGTGATTCTGTGTTAGGTTTTCCACGTAATTGATCCCTTTGTGTATGAGGTTTATCTCTCGTGATTCTGTGTTAGGTTTTCCACGTAATTGATCCCTTTGTGTATGTTAGGTTTATCTTTTTTTGCATGCAAGAAGGGTCTGGAGTTTGGCTCTTTGGCTTTAAACCTGTGCCTTTGAGGTTTTTGTGGTCATTTTTAATCAAATTCTTACTCTTTTTATTTTTATCATCAATCTTTCACATTTTCCACACTATTTGTATATATCGCACCGTTTTTCTAATTGCAAAATTTGAGATCTTGGATAATTTTGAAATTTTGGGGATTGGAAAATGTAATCATTGAGTGGTAATTCAGGCAGCCTTCTTGCCGCAGTTGATCAATGGCATAAAAGGTGTTAAACTGCTCGTAAATCAAATGCTTTTGCAGATTTGCTGAGATTTTTCTCTGAAGCTGGTCTAGTAAGCTCAAGCACATTCTTTATTTTAGTTTTCCAGATTCTCCATATGCTTTCAAAGCATTCAATCACGAATAATCTATCAATTCTCCAAAAAATGGTTTTTCTAGTTTTCCTTGAATAAATTTGAATTAAAAAAAGAGGTTTCTCGACACTAATCGGTGCAAATAGTTTTTATTGGAATATTCAATATAAACACATTAATACAATAATAACAATAACTGCATTTAGATATTAGATGACTTAAAAATTAATACAATAATTTATTTTAAAATCCAACTTTCACTAATATTATAATTCTTAAAAATCATAATCTCGTTCGTTTTGTCATATTTCTAAAATATGAAAAGTTGTATGATAATCTTGCTATATACTTTAATTATTTATAACATTAAGTAACATGATGATTTCATTATATATAAAAATTATTTTATAAAAAATAAGAAAATTAGATTTCTACTTTCTTGAAAATAATTTTTGCAAATGATTTATATACAAAAGAATTATTTCAAATGTGTGTTTTTTTTTATTTAAATTAAACATAAAAGTTAAATAATCTAAAGTAAAAGGAGTTTGTATCGTGGTTGGTTCAGAATATAGAACAGACCCCCAACTTGATTCTACTGAAATGAGGCTTATAAAGAAAAGCTTATTGAAACGCGATTCCACTCCATCCATGTAAATTTAAGATTAAAAATTTACAACATTGCTTAAATGCCTTAAAGTCAATCCGGATCTTAGGATTCATGACCACCATTAAAATATAAAATATACAATATTGTTTAAAATGGTTATTTTGTTATCTAAAACCGGTAATATAAAATAATTATTCAGATTTTATAATCAACTTCAAGTTGCTTTTAAATATATAGAAAAATATTATTTTTACTTTTAATTTAAAAATGAATCTATCCAAACATATAAAAAATCCCCATAAGTAATGATTTAAAAAAATATATATAAAAGGATCCCTCTACACATCCCTTAGTTTTTAAATCTATATATTACTTTAACTACAATGACTAAAATTTAGGTAACAACTATATCCTAATATTATTAAATTTCATAAGAACCGTTAGGATTTAATTTTTAAGAATTATTCTGACACTGATTTGTATTTTTAAGTATTGCTGTAATATTTGAATTATAAAATTAAAGGATTAATTTGTATTTTTTTTGTTAACTAAAGAAAAAATCCAAATCACATTTTCCTAATTTTACAGACTGAATTCTCGTAACATTTAAAGTCAAAAGACAAAATCTAGATAGAATCTTGAATATGTTTGTCTGGTGCTGTTATATGATCCGTCAAAACCCAAACTTCCACTGCACCTCCATCGTGCTTCAACACCGAACCCACTTCAACAAAACACCAATCGCGAAATTCAACGCACCGCCGCAATGGCTTCACCGGCAGCGATGCCCATTCTTGTCGCCGCCGTTCTATTCGTCATTTCGATTGCAAAATCAGCAGACCCACATGACTGTGCTGCCTCACGGAATCAGAATACGCAGACCCTCCGTCGCGACAAAGTCACAGTCTTGATAAACGGCTTCTCGGAGTCGCGCATCCCCCTCCTTCAATCCCTGGCCGCCGCGTACTCCCTCTCCCCTGTCGTTTCCTCCGTGCTCGTCCTCTGGGGAAACCCCGCCACCGCGCCACTTGTCCTGCGCCAACTGGCCCACAACCTCTCCTTCTCGTCTTCCTCCGCGCCCATCTCGCTTCTCCCCCAACCCTCCGCCAGCCTCAACAACCGCTTCCTTCCGCGCCCCAGCCACATCTCAACCGACGCCGTTCTGATCTGCGACGACGACGTCGAGGTGGACCCCAGGTCGTTGGAATTCGCGTTTCGCGTGTGGGAGAAAAACCCGCAGCGACTAGTGGGAGTCTTCGCGCGGTCCCACGACCTCGATCTGAACCGAAGGGAGTGGGTCTACACTGTCCACCCGGACCGGTTTTCCATCGTGCTGACGAAGTTCATGCTTCTGAGAGGCCACTATCTGTTCCTGTACACGTGCGGGGGTGGAGCTCAGATGGCCCGCGCGCGTGCGATCGTGGACGCGATGCATAACTGCGAGGACGTGCTGATGAACATGGTGGTGGCTGAGGAGGCGCAGGTGGGGCCCGTGCTGGTGTGGGCGAAGAGAGTGAGGGATTATGGGGACTCGAGAAACGAGGGGGAGGAAGCGGTGAGCGTGGTGGGTTTGAGTAGTAGGAAAAGGGAGCATAGGAAGAGGAGAGGGTGGTGCATTCAGGAGTTTCATAGGGTGTTGGGGACAATGCCTTTGAGGTATACCTATGGCAAGATCGTTGATGATGTTCGGGAACAGGGGTTATGTTACAAAGGTGGCAACTTTGTTTTTTGCGATCGATCATAAAACAGGAACCTGCAACTTTCTTTATCATCAATGTCATATTTTTCCTAACTTTTATTTTTTTATAATTTTATAAATATTAAGGTGTTTGCTATCTCTTGTAATATAAATTAGAATTTGAAATTGTTATATTTTTTATAAAAATAAATATATTGTAAATCTATTATAAACATAATTATATATATTAGTTAATTATTAATTTTAAATCTATTATATTATATTTTAATATATTAAGAGGTATGATTCAATTTTTAGGTTAATGTGAAATACGAACAAAATTTTGAAAATTTTGAATTAAACAAATTCAATAAAATTTCAAGTTTTAAAATTAGTTTGTGATTTTTTTTAGGTTAGTTCGATTTTAACATCCTTGTGTAGATTACTAGAAGATGGTTATGCAAATGGTTATCAAAATATTAGAAATATAGTCATAATTAAAAAACAATTGAAATAAATAGTTAAATAATATTAAGAACAAAATAGAGAATAATTATATACGCTAAAAAATATTACATAAAATAATCTCTTTATTAATAAATATATATAATTTTATGTAATATTTTTTAATAAATTTAATTATACTAAAATATTTTTCTGCAAATTCATTAAAAAAGTCTTTTTATAGTTTTTATTTAAGTAAATGTTTGTTATAGTTTATTATAACAAATAGTTCATATTTGAAATGATTTAATTTTGTAGTCATCTCAAATTTTGTTATCGGATAGGAAATTTTTGCAATCTTATGACCCGACCCGGCAGACAGGCATTCCTAGGTTATATCTCGAATTTCGTTGTATTGAAGAAGTACCAGCCCCATTCATATTATTAAGCGAAAAACCAGGCGCCCTTACGCTCATATACGGTCCAGCATATGTTGTTATGGGGTTTCCCATAGTTTGCATATTGTTTGGTATCACAGTACTAGATCCTACTTGAGTATTTGCTAATGTACCTGAATTTTGTTCATTACTCACATGTATCGACATACCCACGGTTGTCGATACTACAGACATATTCCCATTATGCCCTTGCCCCCCAGTGTTTGGTGGATGTGAACCATTCAGACCGTTCAAACCTTCACTGTTACTCTGGTTAATTGGTGGATTCTGACTCATTCTTATTACTCGCCCACTCCTTAATCTCATACACTTTCGAACTAACCAATTTTGTGTTTTTTCGACACAAACGTTCCCTACCTAGCGCGCCAATTTGTTTCTGGTGGAAATTTGATCGATTTCGATTTCTAGGGAATTTTGTTCTAACCAAATTCCAACCACGTAGATTCTTTTTACTTAGGCTAGCAAATGGTTTTCAATCGAAACTTGGTATGAGAATCGAAAATTCTGTAATATCATAAATCTTAATGCAACCTAATGACAATCGAAAGCGCTATTTTTGGTATTTTGTATTTAAGGCACTCGAAGTAAAGAAAGCAGTAAAATGTCAAATCGAAAAGCAGTACAGAATATAAAGCTGCGAAGAAATGTAAAATACGAAAACCTCAAATTTGCATTAAGTGTAAATGACAAAGAATCGAAATTGCGGAAATGTAAATAACTGAAAATCGAGATTGTAGAAATGTAAATTGCGGGAAATCGAGATTGCATAAAGTGTAAATGACAGGAAATCGAAATTGCATAAACATTAAATGACAAGAAATCGAAATTGCATAAACATTAAATGACAAGAAATCGAATTGCATAAACTTAAAGTTGTTGAACGTAAACTGCATCAAAGTAAATTACATGAACATAAATTACCAGGGAAAGTAAAGAAAGCGGTACTGTTTCTGGTGGAATTTTGATCGATTTCGATTCTAAGGGTGTTTTGGTCCTAATCAAAATTCTACCACGTAAGTTCTTTTTACTTAGGCTAGCAATTTGATTTTCAATCGACAACGTGTATGAGAATCGACAATTACATGTATTGAAAACTCTTTTTGATATTTTTGTGATTGAAAGTATCGAAAGCAGTAAAGACGTCAAATCGAAAAAACGGAAATTTTAAAGTGCGAGACAATGTAAAGTGCTAAACCCATTAAGATTGCGTGAAAAGTAAATAGCAGGAAATCGAAACATGCGAAAATCGAAATGGACAGAATATTGAATGACTAGACATTTAGATGCAGAAATCTAATTTGACATTGAATCGAAATGACATTGAATGTAAAGTACAAAAACATGAAATTGCTGAATCGAAATTGCTCGAAAGTAAATTACCAAGGAAAATAAAGAAAGCGATAAATGTACTCCGTGAGCAGGGAAATCCAGACCGCCAGAAGCTTCATGGTGTTCGTCGTTTCTCCGGTAGACTTTTCACTACTGGTTCTGTGCTCTGCCAATTTTTGCTCCCCTGTTCCTTCTTCCTTTGCTCTATTTATAGGGCATCCTTCAAACCTTCCTAAGAGCAGTTAACACGACTGCTACCACGTTCTACGTGCGTATGGCAGTTTATCTTCTATAGTTTCCCACGTTCTCATGATCTCCGACTTTTTCCCATGATTTCAAAACTGCTCTTTATGCGTGCATTCGACTCACTTCCTTTCACGATTTGGCCAAAATCTCGATGTCCACATTGGTTTTCTTTACTCTCGATTCTGTATTCTTTGAGAATTTCGAATTGCTTACGATTCCTTTTTAGCCCTGGTCTTATATGACTTAGTCTTTATTTGACAACAGTCATTCGATTCTCGATTGTGCTTCTCGATGCTATATGCTACGTGTTTCTAATTGGACATCGAATGAATTTTTGTTTATCTTATCGAGTCACATTTCTTTTTCTTCGATTCCGATCGTTTTTCTCGATTTGCCACTAACAAATGCCCCCTTGAAAGAATATGAATGATTTCAGTTTATATTTTTTCAATATTCCCGCTTTAATGTTTGGAAGGTCCACAGGGTTTAGGGTTTAGGGTTTCTGGGGTTCTAGGTTTAAAAGGGGTTTTAGGTTTCTTTTCCTCTTTACGTCGCCATCATATCAGTCTGCTGCTTTCACAGTACGCTGCATTTATTACCTTTCACCTCTGTCGTTCCATCTCCCTATACGATTTCCCTTTAACCTCTCAACCTATCTTCATTTTGGCTTTACGCGAACTTTTATCCTCTTTTGCAATCTTGTCTTCTTCCCTAAGCTCCTGCCTTCGTTCCTGCTACCTTACCTGTCAACTTCCTTACTATTTCTCTAATCTTATTATAATGGCCTCTTCATCCAAGTCATCTGATTTCTCGGCTCCTCCTCTTACCTCATCTACTTCTACCTTGCTGGAGATTAACAACCAGCAGTTTTCTCCCTTGCCTCTGATGGAGGAGGCCTCCAAAAGGATTGCTTGAAACTCGGGTATTAGTTCCTTACATTGTTGGTGGGGTTAGTTTTGGTTTTGGGGGCCCCATTCTTTACGGTAGTGGAGCCGTTTCTCCTCTCACCCTCTCAAGCAGCCCTGCTCTCGTTCATCAGCCCGAAGTTAGGATCGATTTTTTGAATTTTGTTTCCAAGGTGTATAGGACAGGCCCTCCCTCCAAAAAATCTTTGTTCACTAGATGGTTTGATAGGGTCAAGGCTAAATTCGGGAACCATTGGAAGAATGTGGGGATTTTTGATTTTCTACACTTATCTCAATGTGACTTATCCTACCTCGACATGACTATGTTCCTGGCTGCCGTGCACTTATGGAATAAAGAGATACATGCATTGGAATTACCTTGCGGCCCCTCTCGACCTACTCTTCTCGATGTCGCGACCATCACTAGGTTAAAACCTATAGGGGAGAGATACTTTCGGGGTGCATGTCCCTCGGATAATTCGTTGAAGTCTAAAATCGATTGGGAATCGAAGGCCTACGGGCATTTCATTGAGAAACATTTCGTTGATGATCCCTCAATAGATGTTACCGATGAAGAACATGTAGCGTTTTTGGTGTATTGGTTGTGCACCCATGTGTTTTGTCCCCGATCGATCCAAATTTCCCCCATCTCTTCAACCTTGCGTATCTCCTTCACTTAGGTCAACCTCGCCTATGTTTGGCCAAGTTTTTGTTAGCACATGTATATACTGCTTTCGACGAGGCTGTTGAAATCTTAAGTACTCCTAAGGCATCGGGGAATTTTTCTGGCCTTGTTTGGTTCATACAGCTATGGTTAACATCCATTTTTGAGAGCGTCCTTCCTCGATATTCTACTGTCCCCCTGAGTGTAAATATAGAAGGGGCTCGATTATCCTCCCGCCACCCTCGCCATAAATCGATGAAGCCACATACTGTAAATACCTCCAATTTTTGTTAACCTGATTTGTTTTCGATTCAACCCTGGCCCAGTTCTTGTAAATTTTGAGCGAGTAAGTGACCAACTTAGGGGACCGATCTGGTTCAAGTCAAGATTTCCCGCCTCAACTCCCGGGTTACAATTAGAACTGGTCGATATATGGAGTAGCTACTTGACCCATGATGTACTAGTATCGGGTTTCCATCCCAGGGATTTTAAGTTCGTTACTTACTATCCTCAGCTTTTTTCCAGACAATTTGGCCTGAGCCAGTCTTTACCCTTTTTCCCTTTAAATACCTTCTCCAAATCCAAGTTGACTGAATCGAACATCGGTCGAGAGCTTACCAAGTTTTTGCCAAGAACCTCGATGCATCTTTACCCATATGTGTTCGAATCGAATTATTTATCGACTGTGGAATTTTCTCAATGGTGGACCACTTGGTTCTCGAGTAATCACGCTGTTTTTGACGAGGTTCGACAGAAACTGACTGCTCATCCTTCTTTTGTGTTGCAGGACAAGTCGAAGACGAAGAAAGGTAAACACTCCCACTATCTCCAAATAACTCGATTCGAGCATTTTTATCAAATCTGTTACAACCCATTGAGATTAGAATCGACCTTTTATGACGCTGTTATTTCCCTGTCTCACAAAACCACCGCTAATCGAACCGATCGCAAAATAATCAATCCATTAGGAAAGACCCCTTTTGAGATATATTGTCCCAATCGCCTTCCTACTTTTCCCAA